CTCAACAGGCTCTTCTACAGCAGGGTTCGTCGAACCGTCTAGCACCACCCTCGGCGCTCGGAGCATCAGTGGGAGGCGCCGGAGCATTTGCCAGCATGGGTACCATCCGCCGCGGGAAGAGTGTCATGATGAGCCGCAACCTGGGAACGATGCGGAAGGCCAAGGAGGCCAAGAGGCGGGAGGCCCAAGCGGATCCAAGCGATGATATGATCCTGCGCATTCTCCGCATGCGTCCAGAAGCGGCCGGGTACCTCAAGGAGCGCCACAGGCAGAAGGAGAGAGCGGCTGCCACAGCGGCCGCTGCTCTCATCGTCAAGAACAGTGTAAGTCAAGGGTTTGGTGGTGGGCAGTTTGGGAGAAACAGCCTGCTGCCCAGGCGGTAGGCATAGCAGGACACATAATTTCCATGTTTTTAACTCGTTATCCGTCCCTTTTTATCCTCCGGTTCTCCTCTATCATTATGTCTTTGGGCGAATTATTTACTACTATCTATGTTTTTGCAGAACTTCCTTGGATGGGTGGGTGGGTGGATGGATGGATGAAATTGGCATCAGATACCCTCATTTGTGAAGCCAGTTCATGACTAGCCTTCTTTTCAAGCAAGAAATACCAAATTTTATCAAATGAAAGCCGCATCGTGTCACTCGTGAGATGTGTCCTCGCCTCACTAAATGAAGGCACATGGAATGAGGCGCATGGGATAAAGAGGGGAAGGGGGAGGGGGTTTGCGACCCCCGAACACATGCAGATCGCGGAGATCAATACTGTAATGGCAACCCGGGGGCCTCTCTTTTTATCATATCAGAAACCCCCTTCCAGGTAGGGGCCCCGCGAGGAGGGTATATGAGAAGGGCTGATCAAGGGCTTGCAGTGCAAAGCGAGAAGCAGGAGCGTAACCTGCATGTATAACAGCGGCTCTATGCATAGAATGGCCTGCCACCTCTTTTATGTACATATGCCCCCCCTCTCCAAATGGAACTCACTTCGCTGGAGGGGCGCATCGCTACTGGGTAGGCTCAACCTTCAGAGGGGGGCGGCTAACATGGCATCACATCTGCTGAGGAATCTGGCAGGCCACCCATAAAAACTGTGGGTGGGGAAGGGTCAGCTGTCGTCCTCCCGACCCCTGTACACACGCCAGCCGCGGAGGAGACTGGGTCTGGATTTTTTTTTATACGAACGTGGAGGAAGTCCGAGGGCGGCGGCGGGAATACCGCTTGTGTGCTGCCTTTTGCCCCGGCGGTAGCGCGACCCGATTCTTTACTTTATCGGGAGAGCCGAAGACGGTGGGAATTCATGTATGGATTGTATTGTATAAAGGGGCCTATAAAATAGAAAGGCAAAAGATATTTTGAGAATTTTGCTTCCCACTATTATTATGTCATCGGGGTTAATTCAGGGTCCAGCGTGGAAGGCTGGTGCCAGGTGGGTTCGGGGTGGGTAGGCGTCGGTGGTGTGCGCTAGTTGGGGATGGCCAAATCGCATTGAGAAAAAAGGTCAGAAAACCAAGGGAAACAGTAATTTATCTGAGGTATAGATAATGAGAGAGTCAAGGGGCAGAGTGGCTCAGATAGATCTTAAACGAATGCATGTAGATTAGGGGAACGGCAAAGATAAGATGAAATGCCAGATAGGTACCTACCGTAAAGGTAGGCTAGATCTCAACAACTCGGATTGGGCAAGAGAAAAAAGGGGAGCAAAGTGGCGAAACATTTGGGCGCCAACGATCGGCCAGATAACTCTAGAGATTTGGTTCAATGGGAAATCGACGGAATGGCATCTCGCCATGAGCTGTCAGGCAGCGGAGCTGCCTTTGCGCCACCAGCCCAACTCGTGATTGTGGAAATCAGATGCCAAGACCGCTCAGAGTGGGGCTGCGAGGTGATTGGCCGGGATGGGCAGGTATGACGTCGACGGCTGGGTCTTGCTCACTGGAGGCGTCTTCCCCTGAGCCACCACACGTCCAGCCCGTCGTGGGACTCTCCGCAGCACAGTGCCCCTTCAACCCAAAGGGCCCACGGACGGACGGTAATGGCGTTGCAAGCTACGGAGCACATCAAAGTTTTAGGAGCGTCAATTGCCCTTTTGAGGCATGAAACTCGACCCATGGCCGAATGCAGCGAGCATCCTTATCACTTGAGATGGGGCAGGGGACCTTTTGCAGATATCAGCACATGGCGTTGCCAGTAGCGAGATCTTGTGCTTTAAACCCAATCTGCTGCTCTGCTTCTCTGCGAGTCAAGAGTGTCGGTGTGGTGTCACCTCTGGAGTGGTACGACCATGTGTGCTTGTGCTGTATGAGCGCTAGTTCAGGATAAAGCCCTCTCTTCCTTATGCTTATACCGCAACCCAGGGAGGTGGAGGGGTCACGAAGGTAGAGTTGATGAGCTCTGGTCGCGGGTTGGGCATGGGTTTGGATTACCACAGCTTCGGGGCTCATGAAACAGTAGGTCGCACACCCTGGCAGCTCGAGGGTAGATCACTGTTTGATTCATTCTCCCGGCCACCGGCCATGTGAGAAGATGGAGGGGCCAGTTCCGTGGATACATCATTGGACCGATATTAGCGTATGCCGGAGTGATCAGCATAGGCCTAGCATGTGTTTGTGGCTGACCCTGAATTTTAAAAGGAAAAAAAATATTGAGTTTTGTTTGAAACAGGGGCAAGCATGTGAGAAAAGAAAAGATATTCGACCCTGTGTGCTGCTTTACAACAGTATTGTAATTACGTACCGCCCAGAATAAGCCCAGTGGAGGGGCAGCCAAGGAGAAAGGGATATAGCGAGGGAGGAGAAGATAAGGGAGAGAGCAAATCCAAGTCCAAGAAAGGGGTCGCCAGTAACGTGCGAGTGTGAACAAAGCCAGCAAGGTGCACTCACGTTTGCCTATTATTTTCGAGGCAGACAGCCCGCGTGGCTTCAGTACACCTGCCAGAGGATTAACAGGACGTCTAGAACTGATCTGCCGTGGAGATGTTCGCTCAAAGCCATTGCTAGAGGCATTTGGCGGCAACACCACGAGTGACGTATGTCTACAGTGCGCATATGATATTCGCACCTTTGCACTCCAGATTCGGCCTATAGCAGGCGAGAGGCTGTCGCTGCAATAGCGCTGAAAGGCAAGGGTCCCCCTATCTCGGCGGGTCAGGCTGGTCCGCCCTCTGCCCTCCTTCTGCACTGTGCGTCTGGCTTGCCGTTCCCCCACATCACTCGCGCTAGTCGCCTTGCCGTGCACGGGCCACCGCTCTAGGCTCCTCGTCCTACAATTCCTCACCGGTGCAATAATCGACACAGAGAGGAGGGTTGGAGGGACACAATGAGTATCCTGGGGATGGATGGGGGCGCGCCGCTACAGTATGCGTATAGCCGGACTCGAAACGTGGCCGAAAATGTGTCACGTGGGCCCGAATTGGTCGAGGATTTGTGGAGGGGATTCGCGATGAGGAGAATTTGCTCGAGCTCCTGACTGGCTGCCCGCCCCATGTTGTTTGCTCTCACTTGCAGCTTGGATTTGCCTGTCGGCGCGCCAAGGTTAGTGAAATATGACCGTGGCCCATCCTATTACGGTACATTGCAGGCACACTTGCATTGGATACTGCTCCCCTCTTGAAGCAGCTGGCCGTCCAAGTCCGTGGTCCCACCACGTTGAATGCTACCAAACCTACCACTCAGGAAATCGATCGATCCCGTTGTACTGCGCTATATCATTAGGTTTCGTCCAGGGAATGCATGCCTGACTCTGGTGCCATCCCACGAGCCAGCCACTGTTCGACTCCGTCAAGGGACCCGGGGCTTCACATTGTGCCATCACACAGGCAGACTAAGGCGAGATCTACAAGTCTGTCTTCGTAGGGTGCGTCGGCTAGGCCACTGACCGAAATTAACGGTGCGCCTCCAGAGCATGTACTTGAACCGGTACATGCTGGGACCGCCCTGCACCTGGGCGAGCATGAGGCACCACCCAAAGGCAAATCTTGGCACGGTTGGCGCGCGGACAGGAAGATGCAGCATGGGGGATGAGGGACAGAAGATGTAGTCCAATGGCAAACGGTCGCCTGCCAGAACTCCCAAAGATGTATTTGGCAATGGATGTCTGTACATAGCTGCCCTCGCAGCCACCATGTCCACACGACCTGGAAAGCAGGTAGTATCTGCTCGGTAGTAGCCGTAGGAAATGCTCCTTTTAGGAGGTGATGAGGGACTGGGCTTGTTGCCTCCCTTTGGTCAGATAAACGGGGGGACGACATGCCGGCCAGGTAGCGTGTACCTCCCAGCCAATCTGAGGTACATGGGTGCCTCCATCCCACCTTGTCGAGCGCACCGGAGAGAAGCGCCCTACTGCCACCAGACTGGCCAGCCCCAGGTACTACGGCCAGGTAGCGCGGTCCATTTGCTGGCGTGTACCCTGTACGAGCACAACACAGGTACCCATCTACCCGCCCATCTGCCCCATCTTGCCCTCCCATCACATTTGGCCGCCGCATTCAACCCGTCCTGCTCTTCGCCGTTACGACCGCTCCTCTTTATCATTCGCCCTTCCTCACGTCTGGCTATCTGCCTGGTGATTCTGTTTCAGCTCCTCTTTTTGCAGAGACGGCCACGGGGAAGCCCGATCCTATCCTACGCATCCTATATCCCTGCCCACCTAAGAGACTAGTAACTTGCGATTATCCAGTCCGTCTAACCTAGTTGGTATGTACTGTGCTCATTTGCTCTGCCTACGACCCAGCCCGCGACTCACCACATCAGCTTTTTCCTCTGAACTCATTCTGGCGACAGAAGCATGATTCCTACTCTTTATTGATTCTAGACGATCATCGAGTTGACCCGGCCCGTCGTCGCTGCACGGTTGGCCCTGTCCTCGACATCCTCCCTCCACCTCCACTCTATATCAAGTCCACACTGGATCCCTAGAGCCTCGCGACAGAAACCTACACAATCAATACTTCATCCACAGTCCCCCCTTCGACCTTAGGCCCCAGCGCCTACCGACCTTCCCAACATGGTCGACGACGCTGCCCTCATTGCGGCAGCGCAGATTATCGCTACAATCGCCGCCGAGCCCAAGACTCCTCTATCAGTCCCTGCCACCCTGACGAATAAGATACAATTACCGGGTCACGACACACACGCAAAGCGCAACCTCGAGATTGAACTCCAGAAGCTTGCACTACGAGTCAGTCACCTCGAGAACAGGGCAACCCCTACCATCACCTTCCCCGAAACACCAAACGAAGGTACCGAATCACTGTTTGGCGATGACTCAAATGGTGCCAGTCGCAATAATGGCGGACGGCCTAAAGGGCTGCCGCCACAATATGCCAGCCTGGAGACCCCCAGTGGCTTTCCTCGCCAGTTGACAAAGGAGGCCCTTGAGGGTCTCAGAGAGCACGTGGATGACCAATCGAAATTACTCGACAGCCAACGCCAGGAGCTTGCTGGGGTAAATGCACAGCTTCTTGAGCAGAAGCAGCTACAAGAAAAGGCACTCGAATTGCTCGAGCAGGAGCGCGTTGCGACGCTGGAGAGAGAACTATGGAAGCACCAAAAGGCCAACGAGGCCTTCCAAAAGGCTCTACGTGAAATCGGAGAGATCATCACCGCTGTGGCTCAGGGAGACCTGACCATGAAAGTGCGGATGAACACGGTAGAGATGGACCCCGAAATCACGACTTTCAAACGTACCATCAATGCCATGATGGATCAACTGCAGATGTTCGCCAGTGAGGTCTCGCGAGTAGCCCGCGAGGTCGGAACCGAGGGATTGCTAGGTGGACAAGCACGCATTGGGGGAGTTGATGGCACATGGAAGGAATTGACGGACAACGGTACGAGTCGACTGCGTTGGCCCAAGTAATAACCTGACAACTAACTTTTCGAAATCAGTCAATGTCATGGCTCAAAACCTCACCGACCAGGGTAAGCAGTCACCCCAGTTTCTGGCTAGAGGAGCATTCTTGCTAACATGAAACCATAGTGCGAGAAATCGCATCTGTAACCACTGCTGTCGCCCACGGCGATCTAACAAAGAAGATCGAACGCCCCGCCAGGGGAGAAATCTTACAACTCCAGCAAACCATCAATACCATGGTCGATCAACTTCGCACTTTCGCATCAGAGGTAACGCGTGTTGCCAGAGACGTCGGAACTGAGGGAATTCTAGGCGGCCAAGCTGATGTCGGGGGTGTGCAAGGAATGTGGAATGATTTGACCGTCAATGTCAATGCGATGGCTAATAACTTGACGACGCAAGTCCGAGATATCATTAAAGTCACAACAGCAGTAGCGAAAGGTGATCTCACCCAGAAGGTTCAAGCCAACTGCCGAGGCGAGATTTTCGAGTTGAAGTCAACCATCAATTCGATGGTTGACCAGCTGCAACAATTCGCCCGCGAGGTCACAAAGATTGCCAGAGAAGTCGGAACGGAGGGTCGCCTTGGAGGCCAGGCCACAGTCCACGACGTCGAAGGCACTTGGAGGGATCTGACCGAGAACGTCAACGGCATGGCAATGAACCTGACAACTCAGGTGCGAGAAATTGCTAAGGTCACCACAGCCGTCGCCAAGGGAGATCTCACCAAGAAGATTGGGGTCGAAGTGAAGGGAGAAATCTTGGAGATGAAGAACACCATCAACCAGATGGTTGATCGTTTGAGCACGTTTGCATTTGAAGTCAGCAAGGTTGCTCGTGAAGTCGGTACTGATGGAACCCTGGGTGGTCAAGCCCAAGTTGCCAATGTGGAAGGTAAATGGAAGGATCTCACGGAGAACGTCAATACCATGGCCTCCAATTTGACAGTTCAGGTAAGGAACCGCAAACCCTTGGATTCCCCCTCATTAGTTGTGCTCGCTCGCTTGTGAAGGATGGTCTGGGATATTTGCTTGGAATAATGCTAACTTGTCCAAAGGTGAGGAGTATATCTGCTGTAACGCAGGCAATTGCCAACGGCGATATGACTCAGACGATTGAGGTGGAGGCAAACGGTGAAATTCAAGTTCTCAAAGAGACAATCAACAACATGGTAGAACGTCTCTCAAGCTTCTGTTATGAGGTCCAACGAGTCGCCAAGGATGTGGGCGTCGATGGAAAGATGGGCGCCCAAGCAGACATTGCTGGCTTGGATGGCCGCTGGAAAGAAATTACAACTGATGTCAACACTATGGCCGCCAACCTCACAACCCAAGTTCGTGCGTTCTCCGACATTACCAACCTGGCTACCGACGGCGATTTCACCAAGCTTGTCGACGTAGAAGCCTCGGGAGAGATGGACGAGCTCAAGCGAAAGATCAACCAAATGATTTCGAACCTCAGAGACAGTATTCAAAGGAACACGCAGGCTCGAGAAGCTGCCGAATTGGCCAACAAGACCAAATCCGAATTCCTCGCCAACATGTCGCACGAAATCCGTACACCAATGAACGGAATCATTGGCATGACGCAACTCACTTTGGACACCGATCTCACTCAATATCAACGTGAGATGCTTAATATTGTTAACAACTTAGCAAACAGTCTTTTGACTATCATCGACGATATCCTGGATCTGTCCAAGATTGAAGCCCGACGGATGGTCATTGAGGAGATTCCATACACCTTGCGTGGAACTGTGTTCAACGCTCTCAAGACTCTCACCGTCAAGGCGAATGAGAAGTTCCTTGACCTCACGTACAAGGTCGACAGCTCTGTCCCGGATTACGTTATTGGTGACTCTTTCCGCCTGAGACAGATCATTTTGAACCTGGTGGGGAATGCGATTAAATTCACAGAACATGGCGAGGTCAGCCTCACCATCAAGGAGCGAGCTGAAAAGCCAACGAATCTTGCCGAAGGCGAATACGCCGTTGAGTTTGTAGTCGAGGATACTGGTATCGGAATTGCTAAGGACAAACTGGACCTCATCTTCGACACATTCCAGCAGGCGGACGGCTCCATGACCCGCAAGTTTGGCGGTACTGGACTTGGTCTTTCCATTTCAAAGCGGCTGGTGAATTTGATGGGAGGTGACCTCTGGGTTAACAGTGAAGCGGGCAAAGGAAGTGCTTTCCACTTCACTTGCCGGGTGAAATTGGCAGCCGATGATGCAAAGGCGATCTCGAGACATCTTCAGCCTTACCACGGACATCAGGTACTGTACGTGGATAATGCGCAATCTGAGGCTCGATCCAAGATTATGGAGATGTTGAACCAGATTGGCCTTCGGCCAGTGGTTGTCGACTCGGAGAAGAGCCTGGCCCTCACTGGTCTTAAGACCGGCGGCGTTCTCCCATATGACGCTATTCTCGTCGACTCAATCGTCACCGCACGAAGACTAAGGGCAGTGGACGATTTCAAGTATCTTCCCATAGTGTTGTTGGCACCGATCGTTCATGTTAGTCTGAAATCCTGCCTAGATCTCGGCATCACCTCATATATGACGATGCCCTGCAAACTGATTGACCTGGGCAACGGCATGGTTCCCGCTTTGGAGAACCGAGCAACACCCTCGCTCGCCGATAACACAAAGTCGTTCGAGATTCTGCTCGCCGAAGACAACACAGTCAATCAAAAGTTCGCCGTCAAGATCCTAGAGAAGTATCACCATGTGGTGACCGTCGTTGGCAATGGATGGGAAGCTGTCGAGGCAATCAAAGAAAGGAAGTTTGATGTAATTTTGATGGATGTTCAAATGCCCATCATGGTGAGTAGAGCCCCAGCCCAGCCAACACTGGCCTGTACTTGTTCCATGTATCAGTAAGCTAACGTGCTCTTTCAAACAGGGCGGATTCGAAGCCACCGCGAAGATTCGAGAATACGAACGCGGGATGGGCACGCATAGAACCCCTATCATTGCGTTGACAGCACACGCCATGATGGGTGATCGTGAGAAGTGTATCCAAGCGCAAATGGACGAGTACTTGTCGAAACCCCTGCAACAGAACCAGCTCATCCAGACAATCCTGAAATGCGCCACGCTTGGTGGCCCATTGCTGGAGCAGAATAGGGAGCGGGAGCTAGCTCTACAGGCAGAGGCGAAGTCTTCGACCCATAAAGATGATGGCCAGGGTATTCTGCGGCCATCACTGGAGCCCCGGGCATTCTCAACCCACGATGGACTGGGAAGCAACACGGTGGAAAGCCCGGTCTTGGTGACGGAAGATCAGGAGGAACATGTCAACGGACGGCAAAAGCTGAATGAGTTGCGAAGCCTTACGAATTAAGCCCGGTCTGCATTTTTCTCTCAATATCATGACGGATTATCTTTTAGGAAATGGTTCACTTGATTCCCCATCTTCTCTGTTATTGCCGCAGTGCTTAGGAGCGAGAGAAGAGTAGTCCTTAGGCATGGCTCAGGACAGATGCTTTTTACGCGGATTTACATGTGTTTTTTCTTTTTGGACAGTGGGTAAAGCACTGGAGCCCATACCCATTATTCTGGATGGCGGTGTTATGAGGCAAGGGTTGGTGGCGACACGATCATCACTAGGGGCGAGATGGCTTTGTTTATACGTACTCTCGACTGCATTCTTGTATTTTATCTCGGGTGTTTTGTTTTCACATCTCTTTGTTCATGGGATTTGGTTGACGGTTTCTTTCCGATCGTTGCTTCCAAGCATAGCTCATTGCGGGACATAATGGTCCCTTCAAGCGTTTGGCTTTCCATTCGACCTTTTTTTTGGAATTGGCAATGTGGACGAATAGCATAGCAAGGATACCGATTTTCTTCTTCTCCATTTTCGTTTTCCCGTTCCCACCTCGCTGGATATTGTTGTTTTCTCTAGTTCTTTGTGTAATACCTCCTACGCTTTCCGAACAGATTGGACAACACTGCGACTCGGCCGTGTTTGGTGGTCGGGGACTGTCGTTTTGATATTTATTGCTCGATGAGCATTCGCGCTTTGCCATGATATGAGACGAATATACTTTTTTTAAGATACTGGTTCAGGAGTAATACAACATTCATTTCCGTGGATATGATGGGCGCCCAACGACTACCCGGTATACATTCAAGTCTATCTAAGCATTCATAAGTGTCCCTGCCTATTCCCTCTGCTATCTGGCATAGGGTAAACGGGAAAGAAATCCAACCATAGAAGGCGTCCTAGAAGATCTAATGTTTCTTCTCATCCTGAGGGTCCTCCTTGGATTGCTGGGTGGGCTTCTCCTTCTTCTCGGAGGTCTTCTTAGTAGCCTCCCCGGCAGCAGAGTCCTCGCCGCCTTCCTCCGTCGTCTCGGCGGGCTCGTATGCGGCGAGGAGGGCGTCCAGCTTGGACTCGAGGTTGCTTAGGTTCGCCTCGAGAGCGGTGGCTGCCTGTTCACCCCTAGACGGGGGGGTTTATACCCCCGAAATGTCAACATAACTCTACAATGATATAACACCGGCACGGCGGGAAAGATATTCGGGCGTCCCCTGACACTTGTCGGTTGGGCCTTTCGTGTTTGCCCTCGCTCATGAGCCGGCGGGAATGGCAACGAAGGGCAAGGGCAAGGGGCAATGGGTTTATGCAAGGGTTCTATAGAATATATTCGCCTGCTCCCCCCGCATCCGTATATATAGGATTGCGAAATATATCCGATAATAGCACGAACACCGGCAAGAAGCCTGCTCCCGCGGTGATCAGTGTAGCGATTCCCCTGCTCTGCTAGGATGAGCTCCTCACAAGGTGAGAAAGCTTAGCCGAGCTGAGCGCAGGCTCAAGCCCTTGGCCCTTGGGGAAATCAGCTGATGAGGGGGGAGGGGGCTTTGTGCAGTGGAGGAACCGTACAAGCGCAAATGGGGGCATCTCTTCGCGACGCTTGTGAAAGAGCATGCCTGTAGGCAGAGACAGAATGTGGATGGGGGTGGGCGCATGGCTTCAAGAGAATGAAAGAAGGAGGTCAAGCTATGTACCTTAGAAGTTCCCGATAGGCCTAGAACGTCCAGTCAGTTCATGGGGGAGGGGCCAAGCGAACGTTTTGGGGGCCCAGAACGATGAGTGAACGGAACAGCCTCATGGGCTATGTGAGACGGGCTTACCTGGGCTAGGTCATTGGCATCGCCCTGGGCCTTTGAAGGCCCGGATGGAGCAGGGTCCTCTCTTGGGGCTGCCATGGGGATGGGATGCAGACGAAGGATATATGGAACCCTGGGATGGGCTATGTGCGGTCGAGTCCCTCGATACGGCGGGCGGAGGCAGAGAGGGCGTGCGGTCTCAGTTGAGTGTATGCAGTGTGATAGGGGACTGGGGTTTACAGTAGCATAGACGGGGGCGGGAACAGGTTTTCGGAAGATGGACAATTCCAGATTGTCGATGCCGCGTGAATGCGAAATGGGGGAAATAGGGAATTTCGGATTACGGAGGCGTTGAGGGTGGAGCTCTAGCGGTTCCGGTCCAGCAGCAGGGCGCTGCCAGGTCACTGAGACCCCTGGAGGTTCCAGGCAGTGCAGCGAGCCCACCTAAACCCCACTGGGGCTGACTGCTGGGGGCGCTGCGAAAGGGCTACAGCCGTCCATCTCGTTCCGCCCAGAATTAGTACATCCTGACTTATGGCCTGGTGCTGCGTCTTGTATGGGAGAACGGAGCTTGGCACATGAGCGAGCAATCCCCTCAGCATGTGAAGATGCGGTGTTTTTAGCAGGGAAGATTCTCGTCGTAGGCTTTTCAATAGAATGCCAGATGTGTAAGTGATTGGGCAGAGCCTAAGACGGGCCTAGGAATGTGCTTGCGATGATGGTTTCTTTGGGCAGGTATGATACGTAAATGCCCTCTACGACATCCATCTAGATCAGAAGTAGGGCACGGCGCATTGCCAAACAACTGGCATATAGCCGAGTTTGCCACCTCATATATCTGTAATCACTCAAAACGGACATATGGCGACCCCGGACGAACACGACTTGCTGCTTCTGCAGGAGCAGGTGAAAGGTTCAAACAGGCACCGTGTAAGTGGATGTTTTTCATGCAACGCCATGCATTTTTGCTGCCAAATCCAACAATCATATGGCTTAGATATTCGTCAAAACAGACCAATGAAGTCGTGGTGTCGGCATCTCTAGCGCGTATCCGGTGTGTGTGTGCGCGCGTCTGCCGTCCTTCCCCCTCGGTGGGTGCTACGAGCCGCTGGTGATCACAAAATACATTAAGCATCGCGATAGAGTACCATCGAAATTTCCTATCTTGGAGGTCGAATGGCCGTAACATAGATAGTGGGAGGCGGAAAGCTATCACCTGACGGGTTAGAATTGGATTCCGGCACACACTCAAAACATACGCCTCGTACGAAGAAGCGAATGCCTTTAAAGGTCATCGAGATCAGCACCTAGACTGTGGTGTGATGCCAAAATATCCTCTCTAAAATGGGCCATGAACGATTCAGACCGATCCATTGACTCCATACGCTCACATGGTTTTCATGGCCTAAATGGCACAAGTGAACCTCCTGCTCCTCGTGGTGAGCTGATGTGGAAGTATGATCCCGGTCGTCTCGCTTACCCCGGCGAGCAATGGAAATGTGAGCACCGGTGGATGCTCCGTGATCGATCATGAACAAGCACTCTGTTCTTGGTGGCTCGGGCAATTGATAAGTGCAAATCATTCTGCCCTGACTCGAAGATGCAGTCGTGCTTGGGCAATGGTGTAGGGTGAGTTCATAAAACTGGAGGCCAAGACAGACGACGCGGGCAGGACGAGAATAAGCTCCGGCCAATGACTCGGCAGGAGCTTTCCATTGGGTCCCACAAACAACGACGGGCAAGGGCCGGGTGTGGAGCCGGACCAGGAGGGACGTGCCTCAGTGACACTGGAGGCAGAGAAGACGTCGCCCATTGCCATCGGAAGATATGCTTCTGGCGAAGGCCAACCAGCCAACCGACTAGTGCTCGCGGACAGTCGTCGTTGGCCGGCGGCGCAATGGGCTTTGCGCAAGGTCAGGGGGCAACCCATGACAACCTAAACAAAGCGATAGCAAAATATGCATGCTCTCCGCCTTCGCGATCCGCAAGCCAAAAGCTCGATCCCAACTGACAGCCCTCACTAAGGCGATCAGGCACCCCACGGTAGGGGGGCGTCGTTAGCACCCCGACCAGCCAATCCGGTGGGCCAAGGTTGCAGGCTGCCACACGTCCTATACACCATGCAGTATAATGTATAATAGTTGGTGCTCGACGCTGACGAGATCGAGATCCTCACCTCATGTACTGCACAGTCTGTACTGCTCGCCCTCTCTGTCGACGCAACACACTCGCTGCCTCGCACGTGCAAGATCACGCACGCGCGCCTCCTTGCACACTGTTTTTCTACGGCCTCCAACCTCACACAGCACATGGCGCAATTGAATACATACAGCCCTCGCCCGAGACTCGCATGTGCATCGCAACCCAGAAAAACATCGAGGCACTGTCCTCCCGGGGCGCATGTGGTGTCTGAAGTTTAGCACACAGTGGCCCAGGCTACTGGATGATATCAGAACTAAAGGCTTCATCTCGATTGACACTCGATCATCGAACTGATGGAAGAAGGGGGGTGAGACCGCTCGTGGTATGCAGCGTCATAACATCCACGTCCCTCTAGCAGCCGATTACCTTCCCGTCATTCTTTAGCGACCGGCAGGAGGGGAGGAAACCCACGGTAAGCCACGAACCCCAACCTCCGCGGCGGAACCAAGAGCAGAGGCGCAAGCCTGTATAATCGCCAGGCTGTCTCAGTGCACCGGCCGATGATGCCTGTACCTTGGTTGGCTGGCGGAACCGTATTAGACGTGGAGTGCAAACCTACCAAATAGTCATGACGAGCCGTTTGACAGCTAGACGGTGGAACACGGTGGGATAGTATAACCTTCTGGTTGCGTCTCGCCTGTTAGATGAGGCATGGCGCCACACCCACCCGACGATGAGAAGACGTAGGTACAAGCGAGCTGCCGGCCTTTATACAGACGGGCAGCCACCGCGGAGGCATATCGTAGGTACCAGCTACGCGGGCTAGCCGATCAGCGACCATGAACATGCGTTTTCTTCGATCCTTCCTTCCCTCGCACTAAATCACTAGCAGGGAAGGTCGGTGCAACCTTGAACAATGAACCAGAGAAGGCTGCGAAGGTCATGTCGTAGTGTAGTTGAGTCGTTGGCGCCTGCCCGCTCCAGCGATCCGTAGCAGTATCTCGACTGGCCTCCATACCAACTGCCCCGATGGATGGATGCTCCCCGATGGATCGGTTATCTGCCTCCAAAAGGGTGATGGAGGCGACGCCAGGCGGCCTCTCTCACTCGGAGCCATCTCGATGTCCTTCCACGGCACGCAGGGGGAGCTGCCTGTCCAACAGAACAGCCCTGCGCTCGACGTTGGACGGCGGTCCCAATACGGCAATCGTGGTGCTGACCCAGAACCGCAACGCCATCCATCGACTTCTGCAAGCCAATCTGAGCTCTTTGCCATGCTCGCGGGCAAAGACCCCCATGCGTCTGGGTACGGGCTTGCCCATTACGTAGGAATGTCAAGGTCGAAGTTTGCCAGCCCCACCGCGCCCAGAAACATCCCAATCATACAAGCCCATGATTGATCGCCATCTTTTCTTTCATTGTCTCACACCCCCCCTCGCTCGAGCTTCTCTTGCGCTCCGCCGACTCCCAACGACTAGCCCGCCTCGAGCTAGCATCATGGATCAGGCCATCCATCTACTGTTTCTTCTACGTACCTCCCCAAACCATGCATGCCTCATGGTCCTTGGACACGGGTTATTACGTAGCAGCAGCTAGCTTCCAGGCACGGGAAAGAGGACCTTGGAGGTGGCACACTCCCTGCAGCCTGCAATTGGCAAAATGCACTGTCCAAGAGGAACCCACCCTCCATCGTCCAGCCAGCTCCAGATCGGCCACAAGCCCATCCTCCAATATTATTTATTCGTTGCTCCGTTGCTATCGAGCCAACTTCTGGAACACGCTGCGGATTCCCGAGGAAGCCCAGGAAGCAAGCTTTCCTTTCCATCCACCAACCGCCCCTCTCACCACTCTCTGTCTCAAGAATTCTCTTGATATCGCGACCCTGGCTGGCAGAGGTGCTAACAGGGGAATATGTGCAATTTGACGTCTGCGACACAGTGAAAACGACCAGCCTGGGAAAAGCCACCGCTTCGTTCGTCCCAGTTCCATCCTACCGCATAACACATACAGCACCCGTCTAGTTCTGGTCAAGGTTCGTCTTGCTTGCAAGTCTGATACCCAGCCCATCCTCTAGGGCATCCTCTTCGGGTTTGCTCGGCCTCACTCGACCAAACAAACACTTGTGAGCCGCTGGCTGCTGCACCGAACCTTCGGCGTCTCATTGATCTGGGAATTCCTTTTTTAGTCTTCAGAGTCCGCCTTTCTCCTTTTATCCTCGATCGGATTCGCCTCAGATCTCATCCGCATAGCCCAGCCTACCAGTGGCTGGAAAACCCCTCTCGTGCTTGCATCGAGATGCCCAAATTTGTCAACACCTATTAATGACAGCCTCTTCTCTCCCCTGAGATTCTCCTTCTTCCACCCTCTAGCAAGCATCATTCCTACCAGAAGACATCTATTCCTTCGATTGGCCTTTCAACTTGCCAATCAACAACCGAACTGCCCTGGGCTTATTCTGAACTGTACGTATCGTGATCTACCCCAGTCTTAGTCGTTTGGGAGCATCTCCTCCGCACCCTACCTCCTCTCCCCTGAACGAGTGAGCCCCCCTCCCACCGAAGCAGGCAATAGGCAGGGCCGGCAAACAAAATCTATATGTATCGATTACATCTGGGTCTCTCCCTACCATTATTTCTCCGGATCGATTCTCCAATCTTCCCTATATGCACTCCGTTCTCGTTTCTGCAAATCACATAAGGCTGCGCCGTTCCACCAGGGCCACCCCGTCGACTGCATCTGACTCGGTGACGTATGTAGCCAGGTCCGAGCTGGCGGCCGCCGATCACTTATACCACTACAACCCTAGCATAACCTCCTTGCACGCTTTCAATACCTCAACCTCGACGCTCGCACTCCTCCCCATACTCTTCATAATTGTCGCTTCCATGGACATTCACTCGTTCTCCTTTTCATAAAAAGTTCTGTGTGCTTGGCCTTTCACAAAACATCCATCTCAC